TCCCGCTGCCACCATCCAAGGCTCTGGACTCACTTCTGGCTCTGCGCACCTTGGAAAACACAGGCCTGATCGTCCAATGGGTGCTAGACCCAGTATAAGCACTTGGGGCACTTCCCCAAGTCAGGGGCTTATTAGGAAGCCTCCCTTAGTCCACCGACCTAAGGGGCCTCCTTGGCATAATTCAGACCCACCCCTCAATAAATCTCCACACCGGTCACAAGGAGAACTTTACTGATTACAGGGGTAGGGCGGAAACAGGGTAAAAGGTAGAGCAATATCATAGAAATATCAGAGGAATATCAGAGGAATCCCATAGAGCAAACCAGGGTGGCTGAGGTAGCCGTTTGAACACGCATCTGCATCTGAGTTACTGAAGCTAAATATCTGATCGGATCTCTAGTAGGTTACTCACTCGCATCGTCCAGAGGTGCTTGTTGTTTCCTCTGGAGGCAGGGCACTCTTGGAGCATGCGGTGATGAGGAGAGAGCCAGGGTCAGATTCACCTGGATGACCGCATGGCTAATGGCTGGCCTCTTCCTCGTCCGCGCCCCTAAATAAACCTCTCTGACCTCAGCAGCCCGGTCCAACCGAAGCTGCCAACAAGCCGACCAATCTCCCAAGCATCCCTGGCTACCTGGGCCCGCGCGCAGGGCCGGGCTTTCCCCCCTGCCCAGGTGACCAGAGCATTCAGGCCCCAGGCTTTTGTCATGCAGACAAGGTGGGAGATCCCCGCCCTGAGGGATTCAACACCAGCCTCTCAGGCTGGTGGAGACAGATATCTGGAGGGGGCACCGACGGTGGCATTTGTGCCACAGTAGTCACAGCCAGTGCAACCCTCGCCACGGGCAGGAGCATCCCTGTCCAGACCACCTCAGACAAGCACTTGTTGAACCTGTTACTGAACCACACAAAATCCCTGTCGCACAACCACAGGGCACGGCCCCGCACCCCTGGCCCAGGAAAGCAGGGGGGCCATGGCCACCAATGTCCTGCTGCTGCAAAGGGTGCTCCCGAAACCCCAGGCCAGGCCGTGCCCCTGCTGCAGAGGGAGGCAACCCCCCCCCAGTGCGCACCAGTCTGAGCAGGGGGAAATCTGTTCCTGCTCCAGTGGGGCTGAGCCTGAGCATGAGTCTGAGCATGGGGGCAAGACCCTCCCGCCAGGACCCTGCGGGGTTGGTGCCAGCAGGAGCATTGGCCCAGCCCAGCCCCATCCCCAGCCTGGGATGCAGCAGCACCGGTGCATCAGGGGGAGGATTAAACACCCTGACACGTGGAGCAGAAAAAGGGTGTCACAAGCCATGTCCCCCAGCCCCACAATCATTTTCATTGCCCTCCGCTGGACTCTCGCCAACGTGTCCACATCCTTTGTCGTGGGGGCCACAGCTGGACACAGGACTCCAGATGTGGCCTCCCCAGTGCTGAATAGAGGGGAAGAATCACGTCCCTTCATCTGCTGGCACCGCTCCTACCGATGCAGCCCGGGATGCCGGTCACCTTGGCACAAGGGCACACTGCTGGCTCCTGTTCAGCTTCTTGCCCCCTGTCCCCCCAGGTCCTTTTCTGCAGAGCTGCTGCCCAGCCCGTCACCCCCAGCCTGCACCGGTGCAGGGGATCGCTCCCTCCTCAGTGCAGGACTTTGCACTTGTCCTTGCTGAACCTTGTGAGGTTTCTTTTGGCCCAATCCTCCAGTGTGTCCAGGTCGCTCCGAATCCAGGTACACCACATCCCCCGGTGTGCCCCCATCCACAGAGCCAGCCACCCCCTCGTAGAAGGCATCAGGTTGGTCCAGCATGACTTGCCCCAGTGAATCCACGACGACCCTTCCTGATCACCTTCTTCTCCCCCAAGTGCTTAGCAACGGATGCCCTGAGGATCCGCTCCGTGATTTCCCTGGGGACTGAGGTGAGGCTGCCCGGCCTGTAGTTCCCTGGATCCTCTTTATTCCCTTTCTTAAAGATGAGCACTATGTTTGCTCTTTTCCAATCATCCGGGACCTCTCCTGATGGCCAATGGCTCAGTCTTCTCTCCTCCAGATTCAGCCACACCAGCTCTTCCAGCCCAGCCGCATCCATCGTGCCTCCTTTGCTCACTGCGGTCGCTCTGCACTGGACCCTCTCCATCCTGTCCGCGTCCTCCTGGAAGTGCGGGGCCACAGCTGGGCGCAGGGCTCCAGGGGAGGCCTCCCCAGTGCTGAAGAGCAGAGATCCCTGCCCTGGATCTGCACGGTCCAAAGCATCCCAGACACGTCCTTGTCTTACCGGTACACAGCGTCCTGGGCACAGAGACAAGGCCTGTTGCCAGATACACCGAGAGCCCCCAAACCTGCCCTGAGTGAAGCTGGGGGACAAGGGTGTCAGGGTCCGGCTGCTGCCAGGGGGTTAAATGCACTCGAGACCCCAGACAGAGGCCGTGCCCCACATTAAAGAGGAAAGCAAAACCCCGCAGTGCAGACCAGTCTGTGCCCAGGGTGCTGTGCAGGGTTAAGGCTGAAGTCAGACAAAGGCATGTGTGGGATGCTTTGGATGGGGCTGATCCTGCCTCGAGCAGGGGGCTGGGCTAGGTGTGACCCCAGGAAGGCTCTGCCAGCCCGGCTGGTCTCTGATCCTCTGGCCTGACTGGACTGCAGACACGGCTACCATCAACCCGATGAGATTCCCCAAGGCCAAGTGCAAAGTCCTGCCCCTGGGGCAGAAGAACCGCGTGCACCGATCCAGCCCAGGGAGCAGCGGGCTGGGATGCCGTGCTCCAGGAGGACCTGAGGCAGGTGGAGAACAAGCTGAACACAGGCCAGCAGCACAGTCTTGTTGCCTAATCCACCAGCAGCCTCCTGGGCTGTACGAGCAGGAGCATCGGTGCGGATCCTCCTCATCTCCCAGCGCCTTTCACCTGCTGTTGTAACCATAGATTCACAGATTCATGGATTCATAGATGTTAGGGCCGGAAGGGACCTCAATAGATCATCGAGTCCGACCCCCTGCATAGGCAGGAAAAAGTGCTGGGTCTAGAGGACCCCAGCTAGATGCATATCCAACCTCCTCTTGAAGACCCCCAGGGAACCAAGCGGGTCCTGGAGCCCTGCTTCCTTCTCCAGCTGCGCCTGGCCCTCTCCAGCATCCTCCTGCTCTGGGCACCTGCTCTTCTCACCGCCCCCAGCGCTGCACACAGCGGAGAGGTCCTGGGCTCCCAGCTCGTCACAGCACACACCAGGCATGGCTGGCCCCTGCCCAGAGCTTGCCCAGCCTGAGCCCAGACACCCTCAGCGAAGGGCTTCCACCACGGCCCAGCAGAGCCGCCGAGATGCCGCGGCCCTTGCAAGGGGTCTGTCTCTGCAGGGAGCTCAGAGGCCGGAAGTAGCAGCGTCTCATGCGCCGGGGCTGCAGCTTTATCCCGAGCCTGGCCCCACGGCTGGAGGCACCGTCTGCTCCTGGCTCTCGGGGCTGCTCTGCACTGCAGCGGCGCAGCAGAGAGGCCCGGGTCTCCCCCTGCCCTGCCCCAGCTCGGTGCAGCCGGCTCGGCTGCAGCCCCACATGCACAGAGCTGCACGTTGCCCTCGAGCTGCGGCAGAGCTGGGAACAGCTGCGCTGGCTTGGCCCACGCTTCCCAGACACCGCCCTACAGGGACCGCACGGTCCCAGGGCAGCGCCGGCAGCGAGGAGCCTGGGGCATCACAGCTGCCTGGAAGGGGCAAGCCCGGAGTGGGGGCAATGCCCAGGGGATCCCCCTTCCCCAAGTGACCAGGGCCCTGCAGCCAGGAGCCTCGGGCATCCCGGTCCAGGAGCACCAGCCCCTGCCGTGCAGGCCCCAGCCCGAGCTTCCAAGCAGTGCTTCAAAGCAGCCCCCACAACCCAGCCGGGGAAGGATCCTCCAGACCAAAGCCATGAAGCCTGGGAGTGCAAATCGCCGCCCCCAGCCCTTCCTGCCGGTCCTCTCCGCCGGGGCACAGCAGCCCCCGGGGTGCACATGCAGAGCTGGGGGCCAGGGCACCCACGCTTGTCCCCAACCCATCCACGCCCCTGCGCATCTGTCTTGCAGCATGGCTGGGAAGCCGGGCACAGCGCCGCGTGCAACTTGGGGTCATCCGGTATCGTAGCATGAAGGCAGCATGTCTGGCAGCACGGGGGTCCCCACGGGTACCTCCACCCGGCTCGGTGCGCTGCACTGGCTGGATGGGCATGCGCAGCACGCAGGGCACGTAGCATCACAGCCCACAGAAAGCGGGGGGGAGGCTGACGAGCTGGACCGGGGGACGCGGGAGGATCCAGGCTGCTCAAGATAGAAACAAACAGGCAGGACATGAGGAGCGAACCGGCTGACGCCCAGGACGGAGGCGGCAGATGGGCCAGTGCCAGCCTGTGGGGACAGAGAGGGCGGCGGGCAGGGAGCAGGGCCCCGAGGGCCTCTCCAGGCCTGGCTGTCCCTGGAGCAGCAGCAACCGCAGGGCCAGAGCCCCCTGCTCCAGGCACCCGCCCGTGGGGGCACCGGGCACGGGGTGACCGAGCCAGCTGCAGCTCCGGCCCCTCTCCGCTCTCACGGCAGGCCAGGGGCGTGCTCCCGGGGGCAGGGGGCATGCACCACGCCACGTGCGGGGCCAGCCTGGTTCAGGGCATAGCCGCATGCCAGGAAAGCCTCTCCCTCCGCCCACGCCCGGGCAGGAGGCCGGCCCCAGCCCCGGCCCCGGCCCAGAACGTGGCCACATCACAGGCCGGCCGTGGCGCGGCTCCAGCCCTGCCCAGCGGGCGCACAAGGCCGGGGCTGTTGGGCTGCGGCTGTACCGGGGGGGGGG